GAAAGGTTCTCGATGAATATGGTACAGAAATATTTAAAGAACCAACCATAGAGAGAGAACGTCTTAAAACGGAAAGTTGGAAAGAACCTGAAGAAGTAGTGGATCAGTTAAGTAGAATGGAAGATTTGGAAGAAACTGAAACAAAACCATTAGAAGATATTATACCGGTTAGAAAGGTTCTCGATGAATATGGTACAGAAATATTTAAAGAACCAACCATAGAGAGAGAACGTCTTAAAACGGAAAGTTGGAAAGAACCTGAAGAAGTAGTGGATCAGTTAAGTAGAATGGAAGATTTAGAAGAAACTGAATCACAATCGCTGGGAGATATTATACCGAGTAAAGAGTTCGAAGAATACGGTGAAATAGTCTCCAAAGAACGAAGTACGGGAGGAGAACGCGTAACTGATATGAAAGCTGAAGTTGAATTAGAAGTTATGGATCAGTTAAGTAGAATGGAAGATTTGGAAGAAACTGAAACAAAAGCATTAGAAGATATTATATCGGTTAGAAAGGTTCTCGATGAATACGGTACAGAAATATTTAAGGAACCAACCATAGAGAGAGAACGTCTTAAAACGGAAAGTTGGAAAGAACCTGAAGAAGTAGTGGATCAGTTAAGTAGAATGGAAGATTTGGAAGAAACTGAAACAAAAGCATTAGAAGATATTATATCGGTTAGAAAGGTTCTCGATGAATACGGTACAGAAATATTCGACGAACCAACCATAGAGAGAGAACATTTTGAAACGGAAAGTTGGGAAGAGTCAGAGGAAGCTGTGAGTCAGTTAAGTAGAATGGAAGATTTGGAAGAAACTAAAATAAAATCGTTCGGAGATGTTATACCGGGTAGACAGATCGAAGAATACGGTGAAATAGTCTCCAAAGAACCAACTAAGGAAGGCGAATATGTAACTGATATGAAAGCTCCGGTTGGGTTAGAAATCATGGATCAGTTAAGTAGAATGGAAGATTTGGGAGAAAGTGAAGCAAAACCATTAGAAGATATTATATCGGTTAGAAAGGTTCTCGATGAATACGGTATAGAAATATTCGAAGAACCAACCATAGAGAGTGAACATCTTGAAGCGGAAATTTGGAAAGAATCTGAAGAAATAGTGGATCAGTTAAGTAGAACGGAAGATTTGGAAGAAACTGAAAGAGAGCCTTTCGAGCATATTATACGAGCCAGAGGGATTTTCGAGGAGCACGCCATCTCAGTGTCTGAATTCACACAGGCTAATAAAGAACATGTTTCATCTCAAAATATGAGGTATAAAGTTCCAGTACGAAGTAATGAACATACAAAGCAATATGGAGATATACATGTTGCAGATACAAAAACGGAATGTTTTCAAACAAAATTAGTGAAATTTGCGAGGGATGCAACAGCAGTAGCAGGAGGTATAGTAGCATCGCCTATTGTTCTTGCAAAATTAGGAGTATCAAAGGTGTATGATAATATTTCTGGAGACGATGGAGATATGCAAATGGTTAGCGAAAAAGCCTCTTCTATGATTAAACGGGACGGACTGAAAGGTATACAGTCTGAAGCTGACGATGTGAATGAAGAGAAGACTTCCGTACAATGTGATGATAACATTGGAAGAAACGTGCATTTAGAACTATCAAGAGAAGAATATGTACCAATAAAAGAACATCAAATTACGCTTTCTGTGGAAGTACCCTCAACAAAACGTGTGATGCAGGAATATGTCGATGATGTCGTACCAACTGCGGAAGGAGAAAATAGGTCTCCTGAAATATACAAAACGACATTATTTGATCATGAAATTTTAGAACCACGAGCAGAAATACAATATCAACTTTTTACAGAAAAAGATTCCAATGAAATAAAAACAAAATCAACCGAGGATATTGTGGCAGAATATTGTGTCCTTCAAAACTTCGATATTTCACTATCCAAGGAAATAATTACAAGAGAAGACGAAGAACCCTCAGAAAAGGAAATCAGATATCCTAAAAAAGAGGCTTCGATGGAGGAGATGCTAAGAAAAGATTTGAAGAGAACCGAAGCCCAAAAATTCAAAGATATTTTGCAGCAGGAATGCGGTGCTTCAATGCTTAAAGAATTAATAACGGAAGAAGTACTTATGATGAAGCAAAAAACATTTTTGGAACAAGAATATTCAGTTCCACAAACGGAAGAAAAGAAGCACATACCTCTCGAAGGAAAGGAATCCATTGTAACTCCATCAATTCTGTATGAAAGGATAGGATCTGAAGGAAGTGCTTGCATATTAGAAAAGGAGATTAAAAATCAGCAGCCGAAAATGGGAGACTCTGAAGAATTCGAAGTAAAACTATCCGAGAAAAGGGTCTCGAAGAATGCAAAATCTGAAGGGGTAGGATTTGAAAGAGTGGTATCTCAGAAATTTGCAGAAGAGTTGGGAATAGTCAAGGAATATGTAACTATGGGAGACAATAAGGAGGATCGCTTTGGGATTGCTGAGGAAGTTATTAAAGGACAGATCGTAGAAAAATCCCTAACAGATACTATTTGTTCCTGTAGTGATAAGGAAACTGAATTCTCCGGAGAAGCTTCTAGTGATATAGACAGAGTGAAAGAAAAGGCTGGGAATGGTGAAGCATTTTTGCGTTCACCGGAAATACAATCTGGAGTAGGGACTGTTGGGGTTGCACCAGCGAAAGAGAAGGAAAAGTGTATAGACACAGAGTCGTTTCTAAGAGATGTGCTGATTTCAAGCAGAGTTTCGTTTGCAGATTTGGTAGATGGTCTTCCGGCACATAAAGTGGATGATATGATTGGAACTGAAGCAGAACAATCAAGAACAGGAGACAGAAATTTGCAGAAAATGGGTGAGTCAACATTTAGCCTGACAACAGAATGTTTGCTGACGAAAGAGGACATTGTGGGACTAAGCAAGGAAAAGATCATATCGCAACAGATGTGCGAATCTTCGAAGGAGGGTGTGGAAAAGCCGCCAGAATATCAATTAGAACAAAACACCATTTACAAAAAAGTGACACCAGTTGAAGAAACTGAAAAGGTGGAAGAACGGAGTCCGTTCAGATTCCCGAAGAAGAAGGGATTTGAAACAAAAGAAGTACTTTCGGAATCTAGTCCATTTTTGGATCGAAATCAAGAATGCAAGGATATTATTATAGATGTAGAGCACAGTAAGACAAATAGCGATGCAGAAACTAGAAAGAAATTAAATTTGGAGGATCAACCGAAAGGTCAACAGTTGAAAGATGAGAAGTTTGCAGAGGAAAATGGAACGGTTACTAGAGAAATCATTTTAACACCTGCTGCATTGATGACCTTTGACACAGTAAAGGTTTGTGATTACTCTACGAGAAGCGATATAGGTGAGACATCGATCAAGCAACTTCCTGACACAGATTACCAACAGCTTACACCGCCAACAGCTACTGAGCAGCATGATGAAGCTGCTATGATGCAAGCAATTGTGGCAGAAAAACAAATTCTCAAAAAAGAGATCGATTACGATCTAATTAAAAATTTAAATGAACCAGTACAAAGTGATGAAAAAGTGGGAGTCGACAGCATGAAAATAATTGAACCTTTTGCAGTTGAAACCTGTTTAGATCGAGGTTTGATTAAATTGGATGAATCTGAATCAGAAATAACCGTATCGAACGCACAAGATAAGCTCCGTTATCCAGCTATGGATATACCATCTCCAGCAGATCAAAATGCTATTTTTATTTCTTCAGATGTTAAAATGAATATTTCACTACCAAAAAATGTGTATAAGGTATCCGAAAATGGTTACATGGATGAAGTCTTGGTAGGGAACCTTCGCGTAGGAATGCAAGCAGATGTGAAGGAAGAAGTGGTACAAGACGATAAAGTTCAACCGGTAGTGGCAGCATCGAATGAAGGAGTAGAAGAGAGAGTGACAGTGAGGACTGAACTAGCAGAAAGTAAAGAAATAAGTTTTAATGAAATGATGTCAGAAGAGGAAACATCGTATGAATCTGTCTTAAACGGGACGAGCTGTCGTAATTTATGTGTTGACGAAAAAATGAGACCGTTCTCTGGAGAAGGTGAATATCCGTGCGAAGTGACTGTTGATACATTATGGACTCCGGAAGAGAAAGAAGGCATTGATGTGGAGGTAGGACTGGAAAAACAGGAATCTTTCTACACAGAGGAAATAAGGATGTACCCGAGCGGCGATACGATTAATGTTGCAATGAGGAAAGAACGAGTAAGTGGAAACATAGCAGAAGAAGGTGAAGAAGAGTCAAACGTTGAGATAAGTGGCGGTGGTGATGAAAGCTCTCCAAAGTTTGAGGCTATGAAATGGAAAAAGCTAACAAACAGATCTGAAATGACATCAGAAAGGAATGAATTGATTGGGGACATTGAATGCGATAAGGAATTCAAAGAGCAATTTACATTTAAAGTACCTGAAGCGTATAAGGAAGAAACTGAATCATTTTCGATAGATCGTTCTGAACCAAAAGAACATGAAATTAAGCTTTCTGAAATCACTGTTGAAAAGAATGTTTTCGTGGAGTGTCAAGGAGAATTCATCATTCAAGGGCAACAAATATCAGAGCTAACCAGGAATGAAAAGCTAAAAGAAAATGTTGATGCAATGTCATTAGAAATGTTGGATCGTGATCAAAAGGATTCTGAGAAGAGATTAATAACCGTGGAAGGTGATCAGGAGTTAATTAAAGAGGCACAAGCAGTGCAGAACTATGAAGAGATAAAATTTTTTAGTGGTGATGGTATTACAACGTCCCAACAACCTTTTGGTGTTTCTGCAAGTGACGATAAAACTTTATCCTCTATAAAAGAATCTCCTGAGCAGCTGACTGCTAAACATGATTTAATGACCTTATCTGAAGAAGGCAAACTAAAGGAGGATGTTCGCAATAGGATGAAAACTTCAAGTTCTTGTGAACCATCGATGGAGGAACAGAGAAATATAGCATCAAGGGCATTTCTAGATACTATCGAAGTTTGTTCAGCAATTCCTCAGCAAAGTGAAAGTATTCACGTTTTGGAAAAGGGATCTGCTGGAGAACAATCTGCTGCCGAGGATCAGGAAAGTTTTCTGGGTGCTTCATCTGATGTTTCCAATAGCAGTGTGGAGAAAAGGAAAAAGGATGAAAAAGTATCTTATTGTGAGGAAGGACCAAAACGTTACATTTTAAGGGCCGAAGGTTTTGTGGAACCAAGTAATGGAAAAGTAATTTACGGCGAAGTAAGTGATATGCTTTGGCAACAAACAGAGGTCAGCGAAAACAAGAGAACTGCTTCAGGAAAACAATTGGATTTAGCATTGAAAGAAAAAAGTACTGCTGAAGTGGAAAATGAAAAGAATTTAACTCTTTCAAATCTTTTGGACAGATATCCTGCTGAACAACATGAGTGCCGTGAGTTTACATTGCAGAGTTTACATTTAAACAAAGAGAGGAAAGAAGATCCCTCTTCGTTTTCTTTTTCATCGATGTTCCCTTCCTATGCAGAAGATACTCAAACTAAATCACTGCGAGAGATTGAGAGAACTGAATCATTAGAAGTAACTACAGTTGCTGATCAGCAAAGGATGGACGAAAAAATTATTATTAATAAATCTAGTCATCTGGCAAAAGAATGCCGAGAAATAAAAAAAGGTGTGTGTGAAATGGGGAGCATAAGAGATGATGATAAAAGGGAGAAATTAGAAGCGATAACTTCAGTAGAACCTACTTCAGATCCTGATTCTGAGGAATCACTGATATTGATAAAAGCGCCATTGGCGAGGCAGAAGATTGACAGAGAACCATCTGAAATGGATGAGAAAGCAAAAATTGTCGGTAGCATCGATCTTGAAGCTAATGCGGAGCATTTAATTGGCGAAAGCATAGAAAAACTAGACCAGACAACGAGCAGGAGTAGCAATAGCTTCAGCATAGATTCCTCGATTGAAAAATATAGCGACGGTACATCACCGTTCAGCAATGAAAAAGCCACTATTGGAAAGAGTGTACCGCAAGTTCAACATGAGCATGAAGAGGATTATGAATCAGATTTAAAGGAGAAATTGGAAACCCTTGCAAAAGAAACGAAGAAATTAAAACGACATTTAGAGGGATGCAGTTTACTAAATGAAGATGAAAAGAATCAGAAAGAGTTTAATATTCAAGTAATAGAAATGGTAGATGATATCATGAAGCCAGTGGAAAGCTTATCGCGCACTGAATCCACTTACAAAACAGCGACGGTTACATCAAGAGATGGCTATGAAACATGTGTTACATCCCAGGAGGATACTTTCGAAACAGCTCCTAGTTATCATTCTCAGGAATCTGATTACACTACAGCAACTAGTGAAGATAGCAGCAGATTATCAGGAATGAATGAAGAGCGTCGAGAAAGTGCTACACCGATTGCAATTTTCTCACCAGTGGAGTCAGATCGTCTTTTTACTGCATCCCAGGATGAGGAACAAAAACCAAATAGGCAGGGAAGTGAAATTATTGATTCGAAACGTTCTAGCCCGGATGTGCCTGATATTGAACTTGTATCTGTCGAGGATGAGGGTAACATTCTATTGACAACTCCTAGTGGTATTCTCCTCGCTCCCGATGTGGATCCGGGACGACCTGTTTCTCCAGTTCCTCCTGGTTTCAGTGATGAAGATGAAAGTTTTGTCGCTGTTGCTACTGCATCTGATTCGTCCAGAAAAGCTGTCGATCAACAACGCCAAGCAGAAATCAAAATTCTCGATTCTATTGTAGAGGCTCCAGGAGACGATACTCTTGCTGACAAAACATTTTCGTCGCGGAAACGAGAAGTACCCGATTTGACAACCTTTCAGGAATCAATGCATGCAAATGCAATGGATTTTGGAAAAGAGTTTTTTCCACAGTACTCAGATCTATCTACTAAAAATAAAACGAGGACTGTTCATACAATTGAAAAAAAAGATGAAACTATAGGTGTCGCATTGCCCTCTGAGGCAGTTCTATGTATCGAATCTGATTCACTGGATTCTCTTGATAAGCTATCAATTAAAAGCGGAAGCAGTGGTAAGAAATATAACACGTCACGTCGAAGCAGCACCAGTTCTCGAAAAAGTTCGCATGATGAGCCACAAACATTTGTTGAGCGACTTACACCAGAGTTGAAAATGTCGTGGGTAGAAAAGAATCAGGAAGTGGAATCGGTTAAGCAGTCCTCGTTGCCATCATCTGAAGAATATCCAATGTTTATGTCTGAAAGCGAGCAGATGAATCCGGTAGAAGTAGAACTAGAGACAGTGGACGAAGAACCAGAGGAAGCGGATTCGTTGAATGGAAGAAGCGTATCTTCAAATGGCCAAGGGACAGATATCAGCGTGACAGTTGGGAAATACAAAACGGTTTCAAGCGACAATGTCTCTGAAACGAGTTTACAGGAATTTGAACGAATTGAGCGGGACGTATTAAACAAAGGTGAATCAAGTCTTAGTGGAAGTGAAGTAGAACTCTACGTAGCTGGGAAATTGAAAACAGTTGATGGATCAACAAGCTCCTTAGCCGAATTTGAGCGATTGGAGCAAGAAGTCGTAGCCGAAGGTTCTCCACAAGATGAAGTAATGATCCTATCCGACATACGTGAAGAGTCGGAAGTCGAAGAGATGAGTATAAGAGATGATGACGAGGAAGAACACGATTCCATTTCGGATATAAAAGCAGTACCAGTTGAGGAAGACACCCAAGTGGCAACACCAATGGCTTCACCAACTGACAGTATTGAAAGGGATTTTGAAAATTTTGTTCCGGAAGCAATGGGAACGAGCATTGATTCTTTGGAAATTAATGTCCCACCAGTATATACACCGAGTGATTTAGGTGGTGAAAATTATTTAACTGAATATGAAGTCATTGAAAAAGTACATGGAGACATACATGATTCTCTTGAAATAATTCCGCAGGACAAGGATTCTATGCTTGAAGAGGCCAATGTACGGGGAATAAGCCAGGACGGTCAAGTGATATTGAGTGGTGATACTTATGAAGAAAAAGATTCATTAGCTGGTGATATAGACTCTATGCTTCATGATTATCCCACCACGCTAACAACGTTTGAAACGATGCAAATCAAGGAAGATGGTTCTACAGAAATAATCTCAAGAAGGGTTCTGACTCGTGTTACTGATCCTATTATTAGTCACGTTCAATTTACTGGAACCGAAAATGAGCATCGAGTACGTGATTTGGAACGTGAAGAAGAATTTGAAACTATGGATATTGAAGGCAACGTTACGCGAACAACACTTCATCGCAATGTTCCTTCATCGTCTGCAGGTACTTTATTCTTAACGCTATTTTTCAAATATTCCAGCATACAATTTTATGAAACACATGTTTATTTGCGTTCATATGTGATGTGTGTTATCAAAGTTCATCACTAATCCTTCAATTAGGAGTACACGGAATCTTAACATGGACTATTTTGAATCTCCGGGATTTATACCGCAGTAAGCGCTAGAATTTGTTCAAACTGGTGTTAGCATCCTATTTAACGGTAGGTTGAGCGTGTTACTAACGCAGTATGGAAAAGTTAATCACCATCTTGCTAGGTGTTAATGTTATTTTACAATTTTTTAAAAGTTGTGTTCATATTATAACGTAGACAAACATAAACCGAAATTTCATTATGCAGGAAAACACTAAAAATAATTATACGAAAAAGCGGATTGCATTCCTTTACCAGAGATTTGCAAGTAATAAGGCGAGTACAGTTTTTGTAATTTTCATCTTAATCATTTTTCATTTCGAAGTTGTTATTCTAGCTGACCGATTTTCTCCTGAAAAAGTTTACGTCATAATCCCATTTCCGAGTGCAAGATGAGGACAGGAAAGAATTTTGGTTTCCATATGCAGATTAATAAAATTGCAGACATATATTTGTCTTTTTCTACTTTATACCATATTAATTTACTTAAAACTCCAAAAAAAAGTCTGGACTTCAACTTGCAAAAGTTTAGTAATTTCATGTGTGTTTCATCGAATTTTCGTCAGTGCCTAAAATGATCCACCATAACTTTTACACATATTCTTTTAATAGTGGGATTATAATTTAAATGTATCTGTCATTGTTAATATATTGGGTGATAAAACAATAAGCTGAATTTGTCTTGTGAAAAAAGTTAACTACTTTTCTCAAGATAGTTATGGGTAACGACCACTAGGCTCAACAGTTTCCATAATTTTAAGAAAACAAAAAGCTCATTTATGATTTTTCATTTTATCTGTGAAGCAGCTGGTATTTAAAGTTTTAGCCATTATGTCCTGTTTTCTGAGTACTAAACCAAGTTCAGATCATTAATATATAGTATAGTACATTGTGATCAATAAGTGGGCTGAACAAAATTCTTAAGAGGCTGGCCGTCTTTCGGTGTATTATAAAATTAAGGTAGCATTCTTGAACTACTATAACTATTAGTAATTGGTGGCTTCTCACCAAACGCCATTGTTCGAAAAACTCTGGTTGTAGAGCTGAGAATACAGCGATTTTTCGGGGAATGGCAGCATTCAACTTTTTGTCTTTCTGATTATTTTATTTTATTGCAGGCGCTTCACATTCAGCTCATCGTGGTTGATTTCATCAGCATCCAGACAGATTATTTGTTGCGTCACATAGTTTGTGCTTTTTCTCAAATAATTTTGCTATTTTTTGATACTCCTTTAACGGCTTCTGTCAAATTGATAATATTATTTTTAAACTTAGCTTTATTAATTGATATCGTGTTTTTAGCAGGTTTAAACTGTGTTGTGATCGGGTTAAGGTAGAAATTTAATTTAATATATTCTTGTAATTTTAAATTTTCCAATTATTAATATTCCAAGCATTCATGTACTTGTAGTGGCAGTGTAGCCAACGTTTGTTATGGTAATGAAAATGTGGGATTCGAAGTGGATTGGTATATTAGATGGTGTTTCTCTTGGGGTACTTTGGCAATAAATCAATTTTTTGGCGTGACTATAGGATAGAAAGTTTGCGTTATTTGTTTTTAGCGAGATTTGCCCAGTTTCAAAAAATTTTATTAGTTGAGATGTAAGAAATATATTCACCTCAACCAATTGCAACTCTCCCTCGGAACATTCTGTTGCAGAAGATGCTGTATAAAAGCAATGATAAATATCACTTCACGCACCTTTCTTATTAGTTATGTCGATATTTTCCTTAGCATATTAAAAATAAATTCTTTTTTTTGTGAATAAAATTCGGAACAGTATCGTTAACACTCTTTTATAGGATCAAAAAGAAGCGATGTATCTATACGGCTATTCTCTTGGAGTTTTCCGCACCTCTCAGTAGGTAGTACTTGATTCTGTTATTAATTACTGAACAATAAATTGTTGGTTCAAAATTCCAAAGATTTATACGATTTCCTTGATAATGTGTTGGCATTGCTTCTAAAAAACATAATCGTATAAATTGAAAGAGTTTTTGGTTTTTGGTTCAAATTGTCTGCCATTTTCTGATCAAAAAATGAGCATAAATTTACTGTCGTGAAGATTTTCACGCTCCTGATTGTATTGTGATACGTTTGAAATGCAAACTTTGTCGCGTTCTCATTCGTTGTCACTTGTTTTGTATCATAATGGCTTTTGGTTCCGTCTTTGTCGTTCATCTTATAGCTTCAAAAAGATAGAAAGTTGTAACTTAATTTATCACTCCACAGTAAACCGTCATATTGTGAATTTCATAGATTGGCTAAAAATTTTTTCTTCCTAATTTTATCGATCTGGAAAATATATATATGGCTGTGGTTGCTGGCAACACCGAACTAGTGGTGCATTCAACAATGAACAGAGTATATTCCATACCAGCTAGGCGGATATTTGTGCAGATTGTAAAATAACTTTTATCAACAGCTACTTATCGAGCCAGAATTGCCAGGGAAATGAAGAACAACGCATTAGCATATGACAGCGTTTTGTTTTTTCCTTACGTTGAAATTCTCATTGTGTATGCATTTATTGTTGTCAGAGAAGCTCCATGATTATAAACCACGGACGCCGGTTGAAGTCTGGAAACTTTTGAAGAAATAATTTCTTTCGATTCATAACAGAGAACTAGATGTTAATTATTGTAATTTTGACTCACATTAAACAACAACAGGCAGAATCACTTTTTTAATAGTTGAAAAAAGCTCTTCAATCTGTCAAAAGCTGAGAAGGCTCATCATTAAATTTGATGTCGGTCGTAACCTAAAAATGCGTTCAAGCTCTTAAATGTCATTAAGCATAATGTTCGGAAACATTACGGTAGCAATGGAAAATGGATTTCCTGACTGTATTTTATCGGTGCAGCAGAAATTATGTATAATGTGGTATTCCTGCAGCGCTTGCAATATTCGCAATGACTAACAGAAAATATGTGGGTTATGATAAACTTTCAGAATTGTGAACTACAATATTAGTGATAAAGATGGAATAAGTAGTTAAATATGTAACTACGAACTCAAATATGACAAAGAAATAGTTCAAAACTATGTTTTATGAAGCGATGGCATTAATTTACGCGTATGCCGTAAGGATAATAATTAATCAGAAATGTAAAGTGCGATGAAATCTCTTTCTGCTTCTTTTGAAAACTAGTCCTGATATGTCTGTTATTCTGCAACCTCTTTTTGAATAAAAATTTTGCATTAAAGAATACGTTACATTGGTGACAACAATTTATGCGACAATTAGTTCGTATAGTGAACACAAAAAATATTATCCAATTAAAAAATGTCATAAATGTCACAAGAGAAAATTTTTGGGACTGAATTAAGTGCAGAACATTTACAGCCTGTTGTAAGGAGAGCCCTCGCTAATCGGCTTCCCATCTTTCTCACCATAGCTGTTGTATAACGCAGCTGTTGCTTTCTGTTCTTTGCGCTGATGATGAGCGATGTCAGATCTGCGTGGTGGACACGGACAATACTAAAAATAAGTAATCAGTCTCTTTTAACAGTGCTCTCAAGCAATATTACAGCTCAAATTAAGTTTCAATTCCGAGATTACTTGAATTCAGAACAGAAAGGGGTACCTCGGCATCTTTTCCAGGCCTTCCTTCTTCACCTTCAGATCCCATTTGTCCTTGAGGACCAGGTGGACCAGCAGGCCCAGGGTTTCCTGGCGGACCTTGTGGACCAGCTTTACCAGTTTGTCCTTCAGCACCTTTGTCTCCAGGCGGTCCTGCTGGTCCTGATGATCCTCTTGATCCTTTCGAACCAGGACGACCAACTAAATGGTGCATGTCTGAACCTTTGAAGCCTGGTGGACCCATTTCACCGTCTTTCCCTGAAATCGGATTGCTTTAAATTGTAGTGTTATCATTTTTGAACATAAAAATGAATAAACTCAACTACCAATTAAGTTTGCAAACATGGGATGCCCTAATCCACTGAGAAATACACCCAAAGAAAAATTTTTGATTTGTAATACTAAATAAAATACCTCATCAACTTTTGGGACATATAATTAATTAACTAACAAAACATTTCTGTTTCAATAAAACGATGACTGCACTTACCTACAGGTCCTGCCAGTCCAGGCTCACCAGGTGATCCTGGTTGCCCATTTCTTCCAGGAACTCCACTTCGACCCTTTGCACCTGTAATTCCTCTTAAACCCGGCTTCCCAACCGCTCCTGGAATGCCAGGCAGCCCTCGGGGACAGTGGTAACATGGTGCTTCATTGTGAAGCGATGACATATTTTCAGCATCCTTGCCATGTTGCCCATCAATGCCAGGTATACCATCTAATCCAGCATGTCCCGATGGACCCTTCGGGCCTGGTAGTCCAGCTGGACATAAGTTTTGGTTAGAACATTCTGTAATAATAACTTGATTAGCTGCATAATTTTATCAGCCAATGTCGCGAACAATTACGATTTGTTGTTAAATTCAGAATGTGATACTGGAATAATTTTGAGGTTCATAACCTGAGAATGGTAAGAATTATACCATCTTAGAAAACCCTCTACATTTTATTGCCACAAGACTTCTATTAATCCTACTTGTTGATTGTCAAAACCCTTCCTTTTTTGAACAAGAGCGTGAAGTTCATTATCAAACGAAAGCAAAAAATTTAGCGAAGTTATAAGCTATAAAATGACATTTCAATCACTCAATAACGTTTAAGGAGAAAAGATTAAAAAATAAAGTGATTTTTTTTTTCGCGAATAAGGAATAAATCCAATCTTTTTAACTCTTTGAATGCTTTTGCAATATCGAATTGGTTTACGGAAGTTATGAAGATAACTAAAAATCGAACTTGAATGCAAATAATTTTATCGTCATCCATGAAAATAAACTTACTGCAAATATCGGCTAATTGCGGTCCACTTGGCGGAAAACCCTTTGCCCTCTGTTTACCACCTATGTTTGAAAGGAGTGATCCGGTAAGTGGCTTAAAAAATTGATCCGATTCTTTGTTTCTATCACCATTTAATTTTAACTTGCTAGATTCCAATAAAATACTACTTTCAGTAGAGGGAAATGGAGCAGAAGAATCGGATGTGAGATAATCGTGTCGGTTATCAGTAACTGGTGATGCCTTGTTCCGGAAGGTTTCTGAAACAATACAATGAAATTATTATTATTCAATAAGTGATACACTGTATAAGTACTATCTGGACTGGAAGAACTAAAATCTGTGGTTGTGTAAACTGCTTTTATCATTTATGAAATCTTAAAATTCTAAAACGGATAACCATCTAGTTAATATTTTTAAGAAAAGTCGGGAAAAAAAAGGACACGTTGATCGTTTTTTATGAGTAGTAATTCTTTTAATTACTTATTCATTGAAGATGAAAAACTGTTGAAGAGTGAAATGATCAAAATTTTTGCATTTATAAAGAAAAAAACAAAAATTGTACAAAACAACCAACCATGCATAGGGTGGTTTAAAAGATGGAAAGTTTTATCGTTCAGAAATTGATTATTGTAATAAAGATATTTTCCAATATATTCATAGTAATAAATATTGTATGAAATTCATTTTGCTTTGCTCTTTCCAGCAAAAAGGGAAGGAAAAAATGTTTTATAATAACAAATGTGGAAAATTCTCGTGAGAATGTAAGGGTCAGCTGAAGTTGAAAGACTCAAAGAGGAGAGGGAGAGGAAGAAAGAATTTTTCATATAGTATTCCACTTAGTTTTATATGAAATATTTTAAAACAGAAGAAATCTCAGTCTATGCTTTATAAAATGACACACATTTAATAATTTGAAAATATAAATGAGATTCAACCAAATATCCGTTCTTGGCTTTTTATGTCTACAGTGATAGCATGAAATTAGAGTTGCACAATCTCGTTGTTTTTTCCTCCCTTTGTCAGTAGGGAAAAGTATGCAAGGATAAGACTGTCCTGCTACTGTTATTTGAACCGGTTATGATGTTTGAATCGTTTGACAAAACAGCTTCTCTCCAGTTACAGAGTTAATAGAAGATACTCGCTATTTTTTCTTTTTTTTTTTTGGAGGATTTGTCGAAGTACGATCAATCTGTTTTTTAACGATTCTCATGTCTTTTTGAAATGAGTAAACTTCTTATTCAAGAATGCAGTGGTCAATTGGAGGTGTATTCCACTAAAATCGCATAAGGATGAAACTTCTCGAGAAACACTTGGAATTAATGATAAATAGTTATATCAGTGACTTACCAGTGGACTGATAAGTACTGTCTGAACCCTTCTCATTTTGTCTCCTTTGGCGTCGTTTTGGAGGATTTCGCCCAAGTACTATCAGATCGTTCCATAAATCATCAGTGATCACCTGTAAAGAACTTCAGAATTTCATTTTGTATTATTAATGTCTTGTAATATGAATGATCGATTTATGTGTGAAAAAAAAATAAAGAAAGAACTTAAAACTTTGGGATATGACATGACTGTTGAAATATTAAAGTAATTGAAATTAGTTGAAAACATAAGATTAGGGTAAAACCTAGTACTTTGAAGTGACGCATTTCGGTGTCCAGTGATCTGTAAGCATCTTGAACATCTCTCTTGATATATATCATTGCAATAAGGCATACGAACAACACAAAGGCACTCAATGCAGAAGCCGTAAAAGTTACAGAATGCACGCGAAACATTCTTGCCAAATACGCTGCCTCCAAAAAAATGATTCCTTATATTTGAATTTTGCAGTGGTCGGATATTAGGTCAACAATCAGCGAAATCGGCGATAAAGCGTTGTATCGACAGTCCCATGGCGACTTTTCGGTGATATCTCTCTCACTCTTATAAAATTGTTTAGAAATGACACATACATTACTGAGGCTGTAATTTTGAATATTTTGAAATCTTGTTCCAATTTGGTTTCTCAATTTTAACTTTAAAAACTCTCGTCATCTTTTCTTAACCCAACAAAAATCCTCCATTTAAAAATACAAGCAAAAAAATACCTCATTATAAATAATAGAAAACAACACATTTTGGAATAATTACTTTGAATTTCCGTAAATATTTTGCATTGTCTTGACCAGATTCTTCTGTATTGAAGTACAACTTATTTGTTATGAAACCGCAGCTTATCATTCTCTTATCAAATCAGGGAAATGGATTAATCAATCAAATACTTAATCAGTAGGTTTCACATCTTTCCATTTACTGGAATAATCAACTGGAAGCTTTTTCTTCTTATCATCTTCTGTGTTACTGATACTCTCCCTGTAACTCTCTCTCTCTCTGTATCTCTTCTTTTTTGTTTCAAAATTGCAGTTCAAATCTGAGTTTTTTCTCAAATTAGGTAATGCAGCACAAAGTCTTGTGCATTTAATTTATCAGGAAAATAATTTCAAGATAGACTTGATTAGGATCAAAGTATGCATCTAAGAAGCTGTATATGTCTCAGGCTTATTTTAAGTGTCAACTTCTTCGATTAATACTAATATTAGATTTTCACTCATGAAAAATACCACATTTCGCTGCAGAGAAGCGAGCATTGAGGAAAAAAAAGATTGTTATCGTTTATCATTATGGACTTGCTGCTACTTTCCATCTTTTCTTATAAGATATGGCAAATTTTAAATCAACAATTTCTAGTTTATAAAATTAAAAAAAAAAATATTTAGCAATCAAACACATACAGGAAACTCCAAATGAGCTATTTGTAGATTTTGTGCTGCCATATTTACAATTTAAAGGTCGGAATGTGATAGCGAGTTCTCTGATATAACATGAAAGATTAATTATCATTTTCATCTTCATTTTAAGATATTGTAGTACAGATATGATTTATGCAGTTTTGTTGACAATAGAATCAAAATACAATAAGATTGCCAGTATTAAATATTGGAACGATGGCATTTTTCGACTCATTCTCGATTCACTTCATAGAACAAATGTAGAAAGTAAAAATTAATATTAACGACATTGCTTAGGAGCAAAGTGACAGATTTAGCGATTTGTTTCCGGATAGAGTGAAGTTACCTAAGTGTTTTAATGAAGTTCTTAAAAAACTAAATGAAATGAGTTGTGACAATCTACGAAGAGTTTCACTTTTAAGAAATATTGTTTAAAATGTTCAGATTGTTTAAAAATATCGATTATAAAAAAGTCTTATGGCCTATCAAAACGTTGATAAAGAAATCAAATTGATGAAAATGTCGTTGCTCTCCTTCATAAGTAATTCGATCACAACACACATCTTTTGGCCATTCCGTTTTTCCTCACTATCATTGCTACTCGTGATATATATTTGAGAAGTCCGAAAAAATTACTAAAATAGTTGGCAGGTTCACACTGATGAAAGTGTCATTGCTCTCCCTTCCTCATCAAATATCCATTTAAACATTCCTGCACCATTTGGAAGAGCAATTTTTCTTTGAGTCAGCCGACAGCTTACTGTGTCACCCACACTACAGAAACACGAAAGAATTATCACATTCTCTAACGACATCGCCTACAACATTTTCATGCATTTCATTCTCCATCAGAGGCACATGGTATTTCACAAAATGCTTACTCATTGTAGTTGACAGTTGCATCACTAACCAACCATTTCATTCTAAATTTGTGCAGGAAAAGGGGAAAGTGATGATCTGAACTGTAGGAATATGGATCAACAGTAAAATTCTCCAACATCAACAGATTTGCGTGATACACCAGAACAAGCAAAATTCTTTTCATCCAAAAAACCTATTGTGAGTTCTACAGTCCTCTCAAAACAATCATTTCGACGATAAGTAATCTAAAATTATTCTGTAGCATTATTTGAAATATACCGTATGGTTGGCAGGACTTCCACTATTAAATACGAAGTTGATGAGATATAGAATTGAGCAACTTGTAATCCGTCACCGTTCTCTTTCTGATAAAGATATTGTAAATTGCTTATTAGTATAAAAGAAATTAATAAATTCTTCCTTCCATGTTTCAGATCTTTTTTTGAGCTTTGTCTCCATAATGTTTATTGAAAGAGAGGTGGACGGATGAAACTTATTGAACTTTTGAAGGAAGCAAGTTTCTTAATTTCTTGGTGTGAAATCAATCTACTTAGCCATGAAATCTAATGTTCTTAATTAATTCGTTTCAACATGGAGGTTGCTAAAGAGTTTTGAAAAAAATCGCCGAGTAATAACTACCAGCAAAATAAAGAAGCAGAAAAATCTATCCAAACTTCATAAGCAAGTTTGTTCACCACCTTGTTTCTCAAACCCAAATTATTTGGACATAATGATAACTGACTCTAATGAAAAAAAACAACTTATATGTATCATGTAGCATCATTATTAACCGGAACAGCTTACCAAATTTCGTCAAGATCTCTCCAAAGATAAGTTTCCAGATATCATTATCATCAATGACTCTGCCTAGACAATTCTCTTCCACATTCTTTACAGCAGCCAAATGTTATCGGAAACCCGAAATAATCTTATAATATAAAATTATTATATTATTAAAGCATTTGTATTATCAAAACTTATGTTAATAGTCTTATCCAGGATATGTCTGAGTTACTCATTTGATATACAGTTCCAAGAATATGGCCAATGACACATATCAAGTGACCAAATGACTTCCTTTTATCGGTTTTATAACCAAATGACTAGACCATTTCTTTTCTTGTCATCGGCTTCATCCATCAAATGACCAGATGATTTTTGTGCACACTATTAGTTTTATCTATCAAATGATTTTTGATTTTTGTACTATTACCTTTGTCTAAATTATTGTGGAAATGGCTGATTGTCTAAATTATTGTGGACAGTACTCGCCGAGCGCCAAGTACCGCTCAACTGAAAAAGAATATATAACGTCTTAATTACTACGGGATCAGTTGGTCAATCAGCTTGTCTCAGTCCTAATCTCATCAACGAATAGTCCCAAGCTATTCTTCTAGGTCAATAGCAGAAAAGAATAACCAAATGATCGACACAATCACTATATTTCTGATAATTGTATTATAGCATCAAGAAGAGACTCTCAATCAATAATTAAGCCCTCATTACAATTCGACTGTGCCAGATAAAAGTTTTACTACAAAAAAATTTCACAACAGATGTCAAGAAAGAGAAGTGACAATGGTAGACAAATTTAACAATAGGAATAAAAGAAAATGAATCTACGAGTGATTCGCCACTCTCAAGAATGTAATGATTGAAGTAGCAATCACATGATTTAAATTTAGAGATTTAGGTCAAGAAAATCACGTTAAGAGATGAAGTGAGGTTCATCTTGAAAAAGAGAATACCGGAAGTTCATCTTGAAGATGCAGTGCGTATGTAGCGAAGACGAGATCCGCGATGTTCTCTTTAAGTGCTCAGGAAATGAAGGGGAAAATTTAAGTTCTCTGCTGCAAAGAGATGTCATGTCAAGTCTTAGTAATGTGCAATTGTGAATTGAACCAGGTGTAGATTATGGGATTCCAAACAGCAGAAGTCATGACAATAATATGACAAGGAACAAATAGTATTGAAAAAAGTGAGGAAACTCCATGAAAACACCAAAGATTAATAAGATTGAGTGTAGTCAAGATGCAAAACTTAGTCCATATAAACCATCCTCCATGAAGATATACCCAATAAGGTCGAAGTGTCCGACTTCATTCAAGTTACCGCCAATTACCTTATTGATACCTCTTCCTTCTGCCATTTTTCCTTTTCGTCTTCTTAATCTGATAATCCAAACCATTTGTCGTTTAATAATATGATAAAGCGATGATTATTGACCCATATCTTAAAGTAATGAGGTTCTGGAGAGACATATCACCTGTTGGATCTGGATCGTTCACTTTCTGAAAATTCTTCATTAATTCTTAATGATTCGAATTACTTCCGTATGGAAAACTTTTGCCAAATCAAAAATATTGTATTCGAAAACTTCCTATAAATTTTTGATTATTTTAAAAATACTTCTAACAAATAACGAAAATTTTTGTCTTTCTGAATCATTTTTCAACTATGATTACAAAGTAATTATCATTTATCTTTTCGGTAATAAAACACTGTTTTGTGAATTATCCAATAAAATATCATACACTGAGCAAACATTGAAATAAATTGACATCGCTCACCTTTTTGCTCAGAATATGATGATTGCAATTACTGGGAAACTTTTGAATGATAGAACTATATCGCTTACTACTAAATTATTATAAATATCGTTCGAACTGATAATGAAACCTGCAGTGCAGTTACTAATGAAACATTAATAATACCGTTTGCTCATTAAATTATTTCCTCTATTATTATAAAAATAAGATGATTATGCCAAAACCTAAAATATTAATGAAGTAAAGCAGAAATTTTTGAAGATTAATTTACATGGATATAAAATAATGTCTGGAATAATTGATCTCCAAATCAATCAAAAACATGGTACTGAAATTGGAAGAAAGTGTTTGGCTTTGGTTAAAACGTTTTCCAGCCAGGGAAGTGATTTCGATGGAACACGGTATTAAACATAATGAGGGCTAATTAGCCACTACGGAGGAATGCATCGGCGTGAGAAACGCATGGTTTGCATTTTCCTACTTGATTCAGAAATTCTTTTATCTTAGAGATTCAACACTTCAAACAAAGAAAAAATTAAAGCCGAAACCAGGCTTCAATTTCAGGATTTTCAATTATTGTAGCGAACGCAAAAAAGA